GCATCCTGACTGGCCAGACAGAAATGTTAAGGGGTTCAATTTTAAGGAATAAGGTGCCATTTCTTCGAGGTGACCATCGTTGAAAAATTGATTTTACACAACTCCCGAACGACTAGGAGAAAATGCAGAGCCCGCTGGAAAGTTCAAGATCGCCCACTAAAGTGCATTCGGCCCAAGGAAGGACTTTCTTTACAGAAATGTGTTTTGAATGCTAATAGGTCTACTTTCACTCCTGCCACAATAAGAGAGGCGTCTTCCCGGAAAAAGCTACGTATGCGCGAACCATCACCTGCTTTGGATGGCCTGATCTGGGAACGTGGGGATCGGAGGCTTCCTGCATTGACTTTTCTTGCGGATCGTTCTATCGTAAATATCTTCTCATTCATAAAAAGGATGCCTCTGCTGCTTGCTGTTGTGAATTGTCTTAAAAGAAGCACTTCTAAAATCGGATAGCCTTTATTTGCTCCATCAATGCATGGTTCCTCTGCATCATCAAGCTGTAAAGTTTGAAGCTTTTTCTCACAATACTCTGAACCGAAATTCGGCTGATGTTAAGGTCTCGAGTTTTCCCGATGTTTCTCTTGGGATTGCTTCGAATTTTTCCTCGGACCCGTTTGACCATTTATTGACGGCAGTCGCTGTCCCCCGCTTCTGGAACGGTCTTCAATCTTGCCAGTGTTTAGAAATCGGCGGAGAGTGAATTGGTTACTGTATCGCAAAATCCTAGTAATTTTTCAATCTGCTTCTGGGCCGATCCCTTTGGCCCAAGTTCACAGTCATGGCCCAGTCTGTTTCAGACACCATAGCTTGAGAATGAACTGAGCACACTTCATGTTTCGAGTGGGTGTCAGAAACAAGATTAAACAGACGTGGACAGAATTTGGCCCAAAAAGAGCAATAACCATGGAGTCAGAAGCATACAAAGTAAGACTTGAAAATTTGGAACACTCTGTAGGTCGTTTCAAAAGTTCGTAGAGTTTTCATTCTTGTCATCATTTCTTAGGGAAGCGGTCGATTTGCGGCAGGATACGTATATCTTTTAGAAGAGCTGAGCATGCTTTTACATTTTTTTGATTTCAGCAGCTCCGTAAAATTCCCTTGGAAAAATAGCTGCTGGAAAGAGAAATAAAAACTGCGTTCAATATACAGGGTGTCCGAAAAAGATGTGCACATTGTTTGCTCTTTATAACTCTCTTGTTTTCACGTCTTTTGCTAACAAAGGAAGGATACCAGATGTCCGTGGGCTTTCGAGACGAGATCTATAACCAACACAGGTTTCTCGGTACGCTGAACTCAAATCTATGTTTGGTTTCTGCTGTGCGGTCTTGGGTGGAAAGTTATGAGGGTATTTTCGCCCCGAGCTCGCTCGGATCGACGACAAGTGCGAGCCTCGCTGCCTGACCTGCCAGCAGCGTGTGACCTTATGGTTGGTGTGAACTGCGGAGCCGATGGGTTTTTGGGTTCGAGTCCCTTTGATGACACTCTTTTTGCTGATGTACATAAAGTCTCTTTTCGAACATAGAACCAGTCCAAACACCCAGTAGATGTTTATATCACAATAAAGAGAAGAAAATCGTCGTTAAAGCAGTGGGAGCTAACAAATAAGGTTTACTGGTGTACGATTGCACGCGATTGCAACGAACGTGATTTTGAGCAAGTGCGCAATGTATGCCTACGTGCATATAAGCTATGACCTGTCAATCGATGAGAGAGGGAGAATTTCACAACTCATTAACCTCTGAACCTAATTATGTTTTGTCCGGAACTGGTTGTTTCACGTCTAGCAGAAGAATTTGGTCCATGTAAGGAGACGCACGCTCCTACCAGGAAGGAGCAGAAGTTCATAGATCATATGATTGCGATTTTGCTTGAAGCCACTTGTGAATTCCTGAATGTGGAAAGTGATGAAAGTGAGGTTATGGACGATTCTGATACAGACTCATCGTGGTCTGCAGAGGATACGGATGAGGAAGACGTTAAGAATAAGAGACCTGTTCGATTTGGAGATGTGGATGTATCGGAGGAAGTGGTATGCCTCAATAAATTTGAAAGGAATTTTTTCCTAACTCTAACTTCTGCAGGTAAAAAGCGCAATAGAATTTTATCAATCGACAGAAAAAGGCTCTAGGCTCTCATCAAGGATGAAGAGCAGGTTTCGATTTATCACGAACGAATACCACCTGAAAAAGTTGAGAGAAATTGAGAAAAAGCGTGAGTAAATTAACTTGAAAATGAGCTACAATTCGATGGCTTGCCTTGAAATTTGGAATACCGACTTCCATATTCAATTTCAGTGCAATCTGTCAAATGTGAACAGTTTTGTAATCGAAACATATATGCAAAGGTCATCCGAGCCGATCGCATATTGAGCCTACGAGCTTTGGCATGAAAATTAAAGAAGGCTGTTGCGTCTAAATTTCAAATGGGCATCGGTCTCCAAGACAGCGACATTTGACAGATTGCACTGAAATTGAATATGGAAGTCGGTATTCCAAATTTCAAGGCAAGCCATCGATGGCTCCAAGAGTTCAAGAAAAGGAATGGCATAGTATCAAGACGAGCCACTACCTTTACGTCCAAAAGAAATTTCTTGAACCACGACCGTCTTTCATCCGATGCTGAATTATTCGTCAGTGCAGTGCGGAAAGGTGATTATATACGAAAAGGCGCTACAATTTTCAGTTTTTTTGTAGAAATGGAAAGCTGGCGTATGGTATGTAATGTAGACCAAAGCGGCTTTTTCAAAGAGCTGCATTCTACCCGGATTCTTGCAACAAAGGGGCTGAAGAAGGTAACGAGAGTGGTACAATCAGTCGCTGCAACCACACACTCCTTTACCATCATGCCCGTGTTACACATAGAGGGACATCTGGGAGAAAAATTATTTATAGTAATGCAGGTCTGTGATTCGCCGTACTCCTTTACAAGCAAAATTTCCTTTTGAAGGAGCCACAAGGAAAATTTCCGGATAGAGGCCATTTTCAAGCAAGAAATTTGGAGGTTCGGGCCCACACGTCCCACACAATGAACAACCGTTACCGCTGGAATGGGTCCAATCGTGCCTGGCTTCGGCGAACTCAACTTCCATACTTTTGTTGGTCGACTCTTGGAGTTCGTTCAAAGACCATAATGCCATGTTGTCGCTCGTGCCAGGCAACAAGAAGGTCAAAATCATGAACATTCCACCAGGAACCACCTTCTCCATCCAACCATTGGACGTGTATTTTTCCGTCCATTCAAGGCAACGTATAAAAAATTTACTTCCTACGTAATAGCCCACGACTCAGACTTCGTTGTGCACAGTCAAGATTCCATTTTACGCCTCCTTTCCCTGATATATTTTCAATTCTGTGCACCAAGGTTCCGAAATTTCCTTCTATCCTTGGTACGCCGCAGGGTATTTGGATATGCATCCTGATCAATCTGAAAATCTGCAATACTAATTTGCGCGTGATTTGTTAGGAGAGTGTGAGAAAGAAAATTGTAACGAAATGTTTTTTATACGCTGTGCTCATTGCCACCGTCTTCTCTGTTTCAGTCATTTTGTTATCGAGCATCACATTTGCGCATAGCACAGATTTGTTCCCCTTTTTTGATTGTATGACCTGATAAAGTGTTTGGATTTTGAAAAAGAAGTCTTTTTTGATCAGTTTTTGATAGAAAAAGGACATGATTTGATGACTGAAATGGTTCTGCGCACGAAAAGAGACTTTATGTACATCAGCAAAAAGGTTGCCCTCAAAAGGACTCGAACCCAAAAGACCATCGGCTCCTCACTCTAGCACACTATCCACTAGGCCACACGCTGCTGGCGGGTCAGGCAGCGAGGCTCGCTCTTGTCGTCGATCCGAGCGAGCTTGAGGCAAAAATACCCCCATAACTTTCCATCCAAGACCGCACAGCAGAAACCAAATATAGATTTGAGTTCAGCGTACCGAGAAACCTATGTTGGTATAGATCTCGTCTTGAAAGTCCACGGACATCTGGTATCCTTCCCTTGTAAGCTTGAGGTAGTACCATTCTTTAGGCGAGGTTCAACTGAGATTTACAGTATGGAGCGAATTATCAGCCGCTCTTCATTACTGTAGGATTACGGTAGGAACTTCGAGGAGGATTTTAAGCCACCGAAAGTGACTTTTGCCTCAAAAGGAAATTCAAACAAGCCAGAAACTTTTGTACTGGCCTAAGTAGAGTCGCAGATTTTAAAAATGAAGATTGCATTTCAAAATAGTGCTTCTTTCAAGAGTTATTTCAGATTTAGGGTAACAACTGTTTTTCCAGTGATAGTCAGAAATGTGAATACCCCATCAAGAAGGCTCAAAAAACTGGTGGAAAGTTATGTAATGAAATCAGTATGCCTGAAAACTTTGCTACACTAATTTTCAGATTTTATTCCACAAAAACGATGTGTGTTGAAAGTTCATATCGTAATCTTACAGTGAAAAGCGATTGGTGATTTGCTCTATACTATAAATCTAAGTTGAACCTCGCTCTACAGAATGTTACCTCAAATTCGGCAAAAGATATGAAAGCAAGAAAGTTATTAACGATTAAACAGGGTGCCCATCTTTTTGAGACACTCTTTATAGAGCGCCTATTTTTTAATATATCTGTTTTGAGGATATTTTGAAGAAGATTTTATCACTTTCGAATATTCTAGCAAATAAATCATGTTCTTATCCAGTTTTTTCTCATAGTTGAAGTGAACGCTAAAGCAGACATGAATGGGAGAAATTCGCCTGAAAAACCCTAGAGAAACTTTCCAGTACTTGGGATTCTGTAACTAGTTCTAAAGTAGCATTGAGCCCTGACTCTCTACTTGGTCAGTGATCCAAGAAACGGGTCGACCCCATTAGAAAGTCCGTGTGCTTGTAAATGGGTCAAGCTCGCTTAGCTATAAGTAGCGCTGACACCCTTATCTTACTGATATTCATCCATGATGCGAGTCTTAGTTCTTCTGACGATAGTCTTTTGTACAGTTGTAGCGCAATATTATCCCTATGGTGGTTATCGGGGTTATGGCGGATATGGAGGATATCGAGGATATCCTCGCTATGGAGGATATTACAGGTAAATAATGAGATTTACAACGAATGAATTTTTTATCGCTGTATCATGTTAATTTGGAAATCAAGGCAAAAGATCTAGCAAAAAATTTTGCATGTTGGAATAGAAAACCTGACCACTCAAATAACACTCATAAATTACTACTCGACTGGGAATTTGAAATTTCAATTATTTCGTATTTCTCTTCAATCTGACCAACTCCTGCTAGGCTAGCCTCGGTGAGCAAGATCAAAAAAATTATTTTGATCAGTCTTAATAGTAAGGTCGTTCGTAACCAAGTGTGAGTATACAGATCGCATTTAGCTTCTCACGGCTAGCTACCAAATGACAGGGGGAAAACCTAATAATGTTCAAAAATAATTATCCTCACCTTCTTTGTAACTGTTTCGCTTCAAAAGAAAAGGAACAAAGCAAAATTTGGCATTGTGCTTGTGAGCACATTAGTCGTGGAATACAGCGCCTTTTGTGCAATGCGCATATCATTGCACAAATAATTCGACTTCTTTACTTAAGCTGAAATTATCGCACTGATTGGATCTAGCCTCACTTGAAGAATGTAATTGTTTTGAAGATGAGTAACCTTTTACAGGCGTCCATGGGGCTATGGAGGCTATGGTCGACCATACGGTTATGGAGGATACGGTGGATACCCTGGATATGGATATGGTGGATATGGAAGTAAGTTTACAGATTAGATTGACAAAACAATTGACAGTTGACAGTGATTGACATTGCGTCGTAAAATTAGAGTTAAAGATTGTTTGAAAGCATTTGAATTCTTTAGTATTAAGAACTTCCTAAGATTTTCTTAAATCAAGAAAATGCCAAATCTGAAAAAGTATGAAAACAAAGCACGTATAGAAAATTGAAGATGGAATATCTTTCTGCGGAACATCAAAATTCAACCAGACTAAATTTAATCATTATCCTTTTTCTTGCAGGAGGAGGATTCCTACCTGGTCTATTCACTGGATTGCTCTTGGGATAAATCGTTCGATGGCGGCTCTACATAGAATGTTTTGAATTTCTATAGTAATTTATTAAAATGAAGATATTTTCAATCACCGCTTAAGCAAATGTTTTGAAAATGTTTTTCTTGCTTAAAATAGTCCCAAGTGAACCATTATCGAAATGACAGTATACAGTCTCCGAGCTAAAGTCCAGTAGATTCAATATCAATATAAAATTGTGAAAAATGTGAAAAATAGGGCGGAGAGAATAAAGCTGTCAATTTGTGAAGTACATAGCTAGTAAAAAGTAAAATGAAGTGAAGGTTATGCACCGTTATGAGGTTTAAAAAATAGATGAAGCGGCGTGGTCCTGTGCGCTACGGAAGGACCCTCAAGCTTTTTGGATTGAAAATGATTACATGAAAAACAAAATTAGCACTTTCTTTTAAGGCGCATCTCATTGCATACCAAATGCAGAAAATATATAGCAATTCAAAGCAGCACTCTACGCCTCCACTGAGTCCATTAGGACCACATTATTGAGTCACGTTCGAGCTAACAATAAGGTATTTATATGAAAATGACTCTTGACAAAGAATGCGGAATAACAACTCCTCAGCAAAGTTTCCAAAAGGTATCATATGTTGGAGTAAGCTCAAAAAAAAAACACATTGAGAACCGAGAGTGTCAAAATTTGAAAACATCTTCTTTGCTTCTGTACACGAAATCACTCCAAGAAAAAAGGCAACCAAAGTTACACCAAATTTTGGTTAGTCCTCGATAATACTTAGAAATTGTTATAATCACTGATTCAAGTAATCGTCAGCTATGAAGGATGAAGCACCAGATTGATTTAAATAAGTACTGGGCTCAAACAATACTGTAGCGGTTTTCTGAAAAGTTGTTGTAAAATGGAGGTGGGCAGTAACCTTTGATTCAACTGGATATGCGGCTGGAAGGCGGAGCTTTGTGACCTAATAAGGCTACTCGCGCCCGCGACGCAGTCTGCCTCTCTCGCGCGCGTGCTCTCTGACCATTCTCTAGCCTAAGTTCACGAAGCCCCACCTTCCAGCCTCCGGTCTGATTGAATCAAAGAGTGTCTATGAAGGTTTTTGCTACTCTTACTGTAGCTCTCAAATTGATGATATCACTAAAAGGTATTTTTGAACACAGGGTAATGTTGAATAATGAGTGGGTGGCTATTGGAATCGTCCAAATCAAAACCACCAATCCAATGGACTGCCTATACGGCTTAATTGCTAAAAAGAGGAGGTTGAAATGTAAGAAAAAACATGGAGTTAAAGTGACTAGGGCAGCTGCTTATAGCTTGTAGGAAAAAAAGAAAATTCTTTGTGGGTGCCAAAAATCATCAATTACTTGTTCATTTCACTTTACTCAAAAATGTGTATTCATTTGGCAGTGATGAATTTTGCATCTGTTTCAAGCCTTGAGCTCATTCCAAGAATGATGAGATCTATGGAGTTGCGTCGCAGAGACCAGTTCTTGAAACATGGGTAAAACGCGCTTTTGAAATATTGCCAAAAATTATTTTCGACGGTGTAAATCAGCTATAAGGTTACAAATCAACAAGATAAGCTGCTCCAATCCACTCGTTAAATCACAACTCACCAAAAATTGCCCCCGACATGACCCCAGCTGGTTTGTTGCGAAGAATGTTTACTTGCGTGAACTTACCCACGCCACGTGTGTGTGTTCGCAAAAAAGAGGTGAAAGCTAAAAACCGGATGGGAAGTTGACTCGGCTCCACCCTTTGACTTGATTCATTCAACGACAAGATGATCGGCACAGATGTTGTGTTTTTTGCAGGTAAAGTTCAAGATCCTGGAAGTAAGATAATTTGTGCCGAATTTCAATGTTACTATTAATATTTTTTATGCCTAACCTTCAGTAAAAGTCTATCAATAAACGTCCTGTAGCTTATTATTGTTCCAAAATTTTTGAAAATTTAAATTAATCAATGTTAATTCTATTCAACCGGTTTTTATTAACTATGTGGATACCGATATGCCTTGAATCAATCCTTTTCAGATCGGGTTTTTCTAATGATTTCACTGTCATGTTTCTCTATTATTATATCTCTGATTTTCTTTGTTTGACTCACCCCTCAACCAAGTAATTTCCGTCAATGTAAACACGTCCATTGAAATCGAAACAAACTTTTGAGAAAACGAAATATTTTGAGAACAGCCCATGCATTTTTGGGGTAACTTGTTAGGAATACTAATTTACAAGCTAATAGTCAGTAACAAGAGAATCTACACTAAAAGAAGTAAGATCTTAGATCTTTACAGCTGCGAAAAAGCTAGTGTTTGTTGCCCTTGCCATTATTTCATTAACATTTTTAGCCCATGCCTTCGATGAATTATATTTCCGTTTTACTACCATCAACCACTAAAGCTAAGCCACTAAAGGGCAAGTAGGCCCTTGTTAATTGTTTGGGCCACTTAACTCTTCGAAATCCTTGTTTGTGGTTCGAAAGTATCACTTACAAAAATAAGCTGTAAACTGCGCACCTCAGTCGTTGGAAAACGTTTAAGAAATTGAGACCCTACAGTATTTTACTGTATTTTGAAGATGACTTGACGGTGACTACCTCATTAACTATGTGAAGCAAATTATCATTCTGAATTTGTAGAGTATAGTATTAGGTTGTAACAGAATTAATGCAGGTTTTTCACACCTCTTCTTCAAAGTGTTGGTTCAAAATAAAATGCCAACGTCTTAAGAAACTATGCATGCCTTCTGAAGCACTCTTCTTCTTGTTTCTTATGCATGCTTTAGTTTCAGAAGAACCGGGTTCGTTTCGAAATTACGTGCTTTTGAAATCAAGAGGTTAAACCATGAAATTTTTTTCTTTTACACTATTTGCTCTGAATGCACCGTGAAAAATTGCAAGCTGGCATAATGTTTGTATGTGATCTGTGCTGTAGAATGCACATTGAAGCAAATTTCTTGAAAATTCCCAGAATGAGGAATTATATTTTAAACCCAAACAACCGCTGCTATCATTCTGCGGCGTATAAAAATCCTAAATGCGAAGTAGTTGCGGAGCTTTTGCCGTGCGCAGAAAGAATGAGCACAGGACACATGACAGCAAAAAAACCGGAAGCTGTTATGTTCTTCGACGGCGAGAAAATTTAAAAAACAGCAAGAAAGCACCTTTTCGTCTTTTGAGAGAACTTGTAAAGAATGAGTGATTATTTTCTGCAATATTTTCTAGCAAAATTTTTTCCGTCAGAATCAACTTTAACGCTGCTGCACAACCGACTAGTTCTGCACAGTGAATGAAGTTTGTACCATTCTACTACAGTGTATAGTGAGTTATGGTCTCTCAAACTGAAGGTTTTTCAAAAAAAAACTTTTGACAGTCTTCGAAATATGAAATTTTTCTCAGTAAAGCTACAACGATACAGTGCGTGTTAAATTGCCAATGGTTCGCTAATTGCAGTAATTTTTTGACCATTTCTGAAAAAAGTTATAGTAATCCAAACTCAAAATTTGGAAAACCTGCATTAATTCTGTTACAACCTAATATTACAATAATGAATATAAAATACTTTAGCCTTACTCACGACAGCACTCGCACAGTTCTGCCCTTCTGGGTATACGGATCTCAACCAAGGAACACCGTGCAATAGTGATTCATTCTGCGCCAGATTTGATCCTACGTATAGATGTATGAGAGGATTCTGTTGTAAACCTTATGGAGGTGAGCTTTTATTTCATTTGTAATTTTCTTCGACAGGCAGATTTAAGACAAACTTCATGTATATTGATTTTTTAGATAATAAAAATTACCATTTTTCATAAATGACAGGTCCTTTATCCTCTCAATAAAATTGTCATTTCATTCATAAAATGCTCGCAGTTACGCAAAAGATTCTATAAATTGCCATGCAAATATTTTGTTTTACCATCTTCTTCTTTTTCCATAAGAATATCGTAACTCAGTTACTGTTCACTTAAGGATGAATAGGTAAGTAGAGATACATTTCCTGCCCTGAATCATGAAGGTTCGTACATATGACTTACTTTTACTCTTTTCAATAACAGTTGAATAGGATGATTCAGAAGCTTCGGCAAGCTATGAATAGGGAAACTTAACCCCCTCAAGTGCGTTGGCTAAGTTGCATTGTTCTATTGAGAGGCTATTCAATTCTATGACGAATCTTGACCTCACTTCCTGAGTCAGAGGTTAACCAAAGCTTTGGAGAAAGTTTTTTTTCAGTTACAACAATTCTTTTCAAACTCAGCATTCGATTTTAGTTTATGTTGCTCTCCTTTTGTGAGCCACATATTTACAAGAGCTCCAGAGCACGGTTTTCAAGCTACAGTACCCCTTTATTCTAATCACTTGATTTCAGTCTGTGGTGCAAATGAAGTTTCAATCGCAAATATGTGCTTTACGAAATCCTACATTGGCGGATCATGCTTTCATTCGGCTCAGTGCCAACCTTCTGGAGGAGAATGTCGAAACAACGTTTGTGTGGCGAACATTCAGTCTGACACCGCTTGTAAGCTTTCATTTCAGTTTTTTTGCTCATTTGTAAAATAGGACGATTGCGAGGTATACAACTGAAGAAAAAATGAGATCGGGTAACATTTGAATCATGTATCAGTAAAAGATAAACAACAGCCTATAGTGCAGGCAAGGGATCGCTCAGAGCAAATAGTGCTATTGTTAGGGAGGGGATTGGGATTGACTGGGTTAGTCAAACAAAATCTTGAGAAACACGGAATGATGTAATTTTTTGTTTGTTTTTCGTTTGTTATCTGGAATTTTCAGTATATATTGGCTGCATTCGGTGCCATCATGTCTATATTTAAGGAAAATGAATTTCATAATAACATGACGAAACGCTAAAAAATGGGAGCAGAAAGATTTTTGGAAGGGAGAGACAATGTGGCAAAGTTTAATCGCTTAACTTTCCATTTCTAGCAGCTCTCATTTCATAGAAATAAATTACGTGTGTGAAGGAAAGTGGGGGGGGGGGGAGGGGGGAGAAGACACGAGAGGCGGTATAGTGACGTGATAGCGGTTATAAACAGCGGGTTGAGAAGGTTTCATTTCATAAGCCAACCAAACCTCTACATTTTTGGGGTAGACCTTTTAGCGTCTGGGCAAAACGGCTATAGAGGAATTGTTTCTGGTGCTCTTATCCTCCCCCTATTTTATAAATGCGGCTCGAAGAGCACGAAGATGTAGAGAAAAAGGCCTCTTGCGATTTTGATTCGGACGTATTCGATTTTGATTCGGACGCCTAAGTTTGAACACAGTCTCGCTGCGGGACCTTGTTGTTATGGTAGGCGGGCAAGGAAGCTCCGCCCACAAAGTATTCATGGCGAACAAGTCAGAGCTTTTAAAGAGGTTTTCCGGCTTAGGTAAAATGGCGCGTTGCCGAGGCAAGAACTTTATTTCAATGAACGCTATTGCTATCTATGTTTTTCTCTTAACCGTCACTTCTGCCCAGATGGTGCCTCTCATATCTTTTGGAGGTACGCAGTTTATTCCTTCACACAGCAGAGAAATCACTTCTCTAGGACCCCTTCCACCTTAAAACAGTGTACAAATTCACTGCTCCTCACTGAGTTCTTTTGTATTCATTACATACAAAAAAACAAAACAAACGAGCAAAATAAGCAGAATACAAGAACATTTTGCGAAAACACAATACTCTTTTTTGCAATAATTCGGCAATCATAACGATATTTATCTTTCCTTCTTTCTCAGCCAATTTCTGGTCGATTTTCCAGAAGTTGGTATTTGTAAAAAGAATCTATCCAAAAAACTTGATTTGTATTTTCTCTTTATAAGTGCCTGTTGTGACGAGTAGTTCAACTGCTTTATCCTCGCATGACTATCCTTTGATTTAACTGGACTGGCGGCTGGGATGGCGGGGTTTCGTGACCTAAAGGCTAGAAAAAGATCAGAGAGCGCATTCGCGGGGGAGACGCAGATGCGTCGAGGGCCTTCCGGGTGCCAATCCCGTTGAATCAAAGAATACACCACAAAATGTCAAACGTAGATTTCAAAGTTTGAAGGTTTTTACACTGTGGTCCTCACTTTGGTTTAATGTTGGCTCACACGCTTCAAATTTTTGTGTGAAATTTCCTACACCAGTGAACACAATAGAGGTGTTACTGGTAACCTGAAAGTTAGTTGAGAAAATGCTACGAAGTTGCAAAGGAGGTAAGGTACTTAGAGGTGCAACAGTGCGAGGACCCAGGATTCTCTTAAAGAAAAAGCCCTGACGCTATAAAGGTTCAGAAGAACTTCAGGAGGCAGAGTAGTTCAGTTTAGTACAGAACCCAGAAGATCAAAGCACTGACATGGTAAGAGGTGGCCCCCTGACTTAATGTTGAGGGTTTGTCTGCATAAAGTACTTTCGCGTACTTGAATTGAAATGCATTCAATCCGCAGGTTAAAAAGAACGCTAAAATTCAAAAATTCTTTGTTGATATTCCAAGTGACAGCGGCGGAAATACCTGTTGTTTTTTTGCTTTTGTTAAAGTATGATTTTCAGCTTTCTGTCTCAATCCTTCTCAGCAACCAGAACGGATCAACGGAATCGTGAAGAATTGCGCGTACACACCATGTTCCCCGGGTTACAAATGTTTATTCAATCAAGCCTATGGACAATACTTTTGTTGCGGCCAAAGCGATTCAGGCTACGACTATAACTACGGTAATCGTAACACCTATGCATTACTCTACTTATTATTGCTTCTCTATATATAGCGTAGTTCGAATAACCCAAATCTAGGCAAGATCCGAATGTACCCAGGAACACTGCAGCCGTTGCAGTGTTTTGCCAAGGATCAGTGCCTATGGGTCGATACACCGAATTGTGTGTATTCGTACAGATATAGACAATATGTGTGTTGCTCGACATTCAATTGTTAGAAGCATTTTCGAATAAATATATTGACACTTAAAATTTGGTTTATTTGGATGCATCAGGAATACAGGGATCAGCAATGGGGTTAAGGGCACCGCTACACAAATTGAGGATTCTGAGGTTTTGACGCGGTATAGTAGCGGGACCTTTGACTAGATATCGCCCAACTCCAGCTACAAAAGATGAATTCCGAAGCGAGAAAATGGCAACAGAATGTAGAGCCTGCCTAGGTAGCTCCGCCCACTAATGCGGGTGATTTGGAGATAATGGGCTCTAAAGAGAGCTTTAGGGTAGGTAGAAATTTCGAAAACCTGATTATCATAATCAAGGGCGATTTATGACAACTCTAGATGTATCAGTACCCAGTTTTGGACTTCTTTCTTTTGGCCACCCACTGTGGGCGGAGCCACCTAGGCCGCTACTAGTTTCTGGAACTTTTTCTCGCTTTGGAATTCATCTTTTGCAACGGGAGCTGGGCGGCTACTTAGTCAGGTGCCCCTCTTTTACACAAAGTCAGAATTTCACCGGCTTCAACTAGGGTGAAGAGGTTGCGCGCCAATTTTCTACGTTCATGCCAACATCAGACACTATTCATGCATCTCGACATATTGCAGCATGTATCAGTTGCCCGAGCCTCTTTAGTCCTGAAGGTGAAGTGATGCGTGTGGTTTGAACATGGTTCAAAGATCGTTATATCAGTTTTACATACAATAGTCTTATCAGTTTATACAGCACAGTACGACCTTCGCAGTTGAGATCCTATTCGCTAAATTAGCGTCGCTCTCGAATAGCAATAAATAATATTCTACTGGTTAAAGCTGTAGAATTATAAACTAGGAAGCATCTATCTCACTCAAATAGCAGTAGAAAAAGTACAGCTTGTTTTGTAGTTTCGCCCTCTATGACTAGTAAGATAATGCATAAGTGCACCAAAATCTAGAAGATTCATAATTCCCAATTTGAATAAAACTTTTTGATTCTGTAATCATTAGATAGAAAAAATTCTGCACTTTCCAAGCGTACTTGAAGGAAAATATGTTATTCCCTTATCACAAGGATACAAGCTGATGAAAAAGTGCGCAATAGTTTTTGATTTTCCTTCGCTAAGATCACTAAAACGTCCTCTAGATTCTCAATTTGATCTTGCTTTTGGTTTCACGTGCTTTTCCATCTGAAAAAGAAATCCTATCGGACGTTTCTGCGAGTTCACAATTCAAATTCTTTTCCAACTTTTTTGCTTTTGAGTCTACACAAACTCTATTATTTTTGTTAAAATACAACTTTTGATAAATGTTACGAAAAATAGATAATGTGCTTTGAAGAGATCTTAAAACATTTTTGAAACTAGTCTTTCAGAAAAAAATTTCGAGGCAAGTCATGTATGACATGACTTGCCTCGAAAGTCATAAACCCTAATTTACTCAAATATTAAAAGCTTAAACTTGTTTCCATCAAATCCCACAAATGACGACTTTGGTTTTTAGGTTTCTTTCTTTTAGAGAAATTTTCCATTTTCTAAATATCTGCATCGCTATATCACTTCACTAAATTTTTTCAGTGCTTGAAAACCGGAACATTTCTATTTTTGTGCAACACACCTTTTTGATACTAAGTTTGCAGCAATAAAAGCCAGCAATAAAAACTATTCTTGTCAGCGCAATTTAATCCAAATAACGATATAATAATTTACGGATATGAATTGTTTATTACAGGCATTGAAACAAATAACAAAGAACATCTGTGGTACATAATTACACGAAGTACATGGATAACAGTTATTCTTTATTTACCCCATCCTAAAAGATTCAATACTGGTCAAATTTCACAAATTAGGAACTGTCTTATCGTTTACCCCATCCATACGGCTGATAGAAACCCGGATATCCACCACCACCCCATCCGCCCCACATCGGTCTGTAGCCACCGCCCCAACCTCCGTAACCGAGGCCATGGCGCCAGGCTCTTCGGTAAAACTTTTCATACGAAGACGAGTCGAAGCGTTTGACTGAAGAAATTTTTTGAGAATGAATTAAAACGCCAACTACGAAACACTGCAAAGAAAATTTTTTATAATCGAGAAAATAAAGCTATTCCACAGCGTTCAAAAGAGCTTTCATTCTTATGCTATGGGTGGAGGAACGAACACCTCAATTAGGCATTGCCTCCGCGGACCGCTGGTCCCCAGACGATGCACAATAGTAGGACGAAAGGACCAGCAGCCCGCGGAGGCGATGCCTAATTGAGGGTCTAGCCTCTCCTAGGGCCAGTAAAAGGTTAGAATACCTCTTCGAGATCGGCCTGCAGATCCCAAACCGAATATTGCAGCTATTAAAATTACAGCAAAAAGTAGTCGCATTTCTGCAATAATAAATGTTCGTCGGGCATTACACAACCAAAGCAAGGTCATTAGAACATGTGATACGAAGTTTATATGGATAATGGGAACAATGGAGCGTTTGAAATCATGTTCAGTCCGTTGTTGATTCTCCGATTGCTTTTATAGCAATGCGCAGATGATGTCATCAAAAATCGCTGACAATCAGCCAAAGAACTTGTTTAGGAAGCATGAGGCTACTCGTTCAAGGAGCATGGCTTTCTTCTTCTATCTTTAAAATCAAATCTGAAAGTACAGCAAGCAGAAAAAAAAAGCCGTTATTCCACATAATATTAGGTTGGACATAAGTAATGCAACTTTTTATATAACTTTTGTCTATTTGCACGTAGCGCATTCATTTTTTGGCAATATAAGGAATATGATGTAAGCTTCTAATGCACACATTTTTGCCGAATTTTACCATCTTATGTGAGGATTACGGTAGGCTCACGGTACTATGGAAAATTTTTTAGAATGCATCAGATTTTGCTGAAACTTGTCCTATAGGGCTTATTTAACATGCTGATCACAAAAATGAGATCCGTTCCGCATGAAAAGGCCTCGTTCGTGAAATCAAAAGATGAATTTCATTTTAGCGACAAATAAATGTGATATTCGTGTTTACCTCATAGGATTACCCTATAGTGCAAAGTTATAGCGAATTCTGACTTTTCGCAGCTCAGTTATCGACAAATTGCCTTCAAAACTTGACTCATTTGACTTGTTCAAATTCTCAAAGGCGTCCCACCTTAATTTGTGTTTAAATTTCATTTCTTTTTCACTGATTCCAATGTGCCAATTTCCAGCTACATGCTGCCTATAATTGCTTTTTCATATGTTTGAATCAGGTTTCGTAGGGCTTCATGTTTGCCAAAAAATCGTGAAACCTCGATTTTCAGCAGTTTTCAAAAAATGCTTAGATTTTTTGTACTATGTTATCAAAAATCAAACGGTTTGCGCAGACTTGTAGATTACATCACGATCTACATGATGCCACAAAATGAGATTGCTACATAGAATAGGAAAAAAGTTACGGGAAAAGTTGCAAAACTTATGTGCCAACCTAATACAATTCCAAAAATTGACAATCATGGATTTCACTGAAAACTCGCCTAAAAGGGTTATTCGAACTGCTGATTACGGAAATGATATTCATTTGCATGGTGGAGCCTTTTTGAGGGGTTACGGTAGGTATACGGTATGAGGTCAAAATCTTAGTTTCTGCTAAAACTTTGCGTAGGAAAATTATTCGACATGCTGATCACGAATATTATTTTTTTCGCACGAAAATATCTCCTTGTATGGTTACGATAGGTGTACGGTAGGGGGTCGAAATCTAGGTTTGGCTGAAATCCGGTCTAGAGGGATTATTTAGCACGCTGAACTTAGGTATCATATTGACTTTGTTCGGTAAAACCCCATTTCCTCGAGTTACGGTAGGTATACGGTAGATAGGTGAAAATTCCAAACTTGCAACGTTGCCTAGAGGGGTTTTCAAGCGTGCTGATAGCAAATATCAGGCTTTCTCGCTACAACAACGCTCTATTGTAGAGTTATGGCAACTTGCAGCGTTTGAGTAAGCATTTTTCCTGCTTTTCAGACCAATTAAGATCCCAAAAATCTACGAGAAGGCTTTATAAAGGAAATGAGCGCTGTATTCGCGATAAGCATATCAGATAACACCCCCTGTACAAAGTTCGAGGCAGACTACGGTTTTGACCCCTTACCATATATCCACCGTAAATTCCAGGAGAGGCTTTCGTGAGGAAAAAGTGCAGTATTTGTGATCAGCATGACGAATACCCCCCCCCCCCCTACGTAAAGTTTTAGCGAATTCTGAGATTTTGACCTCATTCTGTATGCCTATCGTAGCTCGTCAAAGAAGGCCCTACCATGCAAAATAAACATCTTTTTTATGATTAGCATTCGATTAATCCCCTTGAGCAAATTTTCAGCGAACTCCATGAGGAACAGTACCGAAACCCAAAATATAATTTCAAAATTGGAAAAAACCTAATATCTAATGACGGCTTGGGCTCACTGCTACATTGTTGCTTTTTCCCTAAGAGGAGTTTCAGCTGAATTAAACATGATGTGATTGCGTAACCATAACGGATTAGATACCAAATGGAATCACTGCTCAAACGCGAAACCACGCTGTAACCCCTCAACGCGAAAAATCCTGCTGGAATGTAACCTCGATCACGCTAAATTTTTGTTAGGAGAAAACACAACGAAGTAGGAGCTGCACCAACGTTCGAAAGATGGACCTTTAATGCACAAAAAGCAAGCTGCTAGTGGATTCATACGGCGCCGAGAAAAGCGCTGCTTGCTTCTTCGCTATTCACAAACACCGTACTATGTGAAAAGCCCAGTGACCTTTTCTATAACTGAAACACTCATTAACATGAAAATAGGCTTCTAATTCCCTTGTACTGCCGAATGTCTTACATTTCCATACTGCAGAAGCACATAATAATGAAATTCTATTCAAACTCAATCAGCAAAAGGTCTACTTCACCTATAAAAGGAGGTAAGCACACAAGGCCACAGACACAGTATGGCAGCACTTAAAAAATTCTTCATCGTCACAGCGGTATGTTGCATTTAGCCTTCTGTTCAGTAGCTTCGGTTTCACTTCGAGCGATCAAACAGTAAAGCTGCATTACTTTCTTTCATGCTATTCTTGGTCGTCTAGCTATCCATCCAGCATGTCTCAAAACGAAAATACGGGAGGATGAAAGTGTCAGATAGAATCATCTCATAAAATTTGCGTTTTAAGATGCAGTGACACTTTAAAGTCTACCATCAAGCATGATAGTGGAAGCTCATTAACTTTGCAACTGAACAATTTCGTTTACAAACAAATCAGAAATACTCTTTTATCAAGTGTAAGTTCGTTGTGTCTCCAAGTTGTATAAAGCGCTTTCATATCGCCGAGATAACAATATCTGCGAGCGCAGAACAGCAGTAATGAAAAACTAGAAAATGATTGGTAGTATGAGAAGGCAATGAAAGAATAAATTATATTGAAGATTTTTCGTTTAGTTATGGTTGTGCTCGATGTTTGCGATTTCTTCACAAACACGTTCGTGCAGTAGCGGAGAGAAGAGATTTGATAAACTCTCTGCCATGTTTGATTTCTGCGTAAATCACTTACACTTTCAGAGTGTGACAATTACCCTGACCACACAATTGATTCCACCGGTAGAGACTTAATTCTAGAGATTCACAATCAAAAAAGGTAAGTTTGCTTTCAAATATCAAAGATAACCGCTACAAAGCTTGAACCCCGAGTTATGGGCGTTTTCGGGTCAAAGGCAGTGTCCGGGAAAAAACTCGATTCTGAGATATTGTGCTTATATGGGCCTATTCGCCATGCTGAATCCGAAAATCCACATTGGAAAGCGCGAAAACGGCAAAAAAGGGCTCTAAAACAGGAGGGAAATCAGCAAATGGGCGGGACTTTCCCCGGTGCGGATTCACGTTACCGGCTTCCGGAGCGATCTTCTCGGTCCCGATTTCAAGTCATGCGTTTGCACCTGGCCTGTGGAGATCTCGGAGGGCTAGCGGAGTTAAGAATATCGCTTTCAGAAGCCGAGACCTCGAAATTCACAGTGGGGAAGACTCCGCCCACTTCTGATTTCCCTCCTGCGTTAGAGCCCTTTTTCGCCGTTTTCGCGCTCTCCAATGCGCATTTTCGGATTCGGCGTAGCGAATAGGCCCGGGTAAGCACAAAATCTCAAAATCGAGTTTTTGCCCGGACACTGCCTTTAAAAAGCAAAATCACCCAAATTTGCTCAGATGGTCGAATGTTGAGTATCAGAGCAGTTCATGCAATGGATACATTTTGTCTGATATGCTAATACTTAACTTTGCTTCATCTGAGCGCTGGAGAGATTGTAGCAATTGTTTTTACCTAGATTTTGCATTCATTTTTTGCTCCAAAGAGCGGTCATGACTCGGTGTCCAAAGGCGAGGATTTTATTCCATAAAACTGTGGACATTTCCCATTCCCATTATGGTTTAGGGCAAGCTAAATAACCAAACTGGTCGAAATCAAGCGCATATAAATTGAGATTAAGGGTAAAGCTTCCATTAATCCCAATTAATCGTGAATAGAGTTACGATAATGGTGTTTAGTGACTTTTGAGCATTTGGACAATTCAACACTTGATTGAACAAATACTCACTCATGACCCTATCAAAACAAATGCCAACATTGAGCTTTTAGGGAGGCGACAGCTAAAGGTCAATACAGAAACGGTATCAACGATTTCAACATAAGACGCGCGAAGAACATGATGGAAATGGTTTTTTTCCGAGCGTTTATTTTCTCAACATTATTTTATTTTCATTACAAATTTTTAGATGTACGACTGCAATTTGGAGAAGGATGCACATGATATTGCAGTAAAGTGCAATGACGCAGAAACTCCGCAAACGTCACTTACTACCCAGGGCGAAAATTTCTTGAAAATTGACAAAGTGTACTCAGAAATAGGAACGGCATCAAGCGCTATGTACATAGTAAGTTTGCAGTGATAGACCTATAATTCGGAAATTTTTGAAGAAGAAAGCGTGACGTCAGCCACGCTTTAATACTTTTTTCACAAGGCCCATTTAAATTTCTTGATTAAAAATTGTTCTTATTAATTAAGGTATTAGATCGTTGCGAAAGTAGCTTCGCTTTTTTTTATAAACGAGCTTTTGCTTACGACTGTAACTGAAAGGGAAATTGGACTATCAAATAAAATTTTATTGAAAAGAATTATGGCAAGCTATGAAAAAAGAAAAAATGTTGTGTTGATTGGTTAAAGGTTTGCTCTATCCATCCGTTACTTGGACTCTTTCGGAAAGTTGACATGAAAATTTCGAAAGATTATGAAACTAGAACATCCTAGAAAGCATGGAGATTTTGTTGATTTTCCGAGAACTCATTGACAGTGCTGCAAAGTTTGTAGCGATTAGAAAGAGAATGGAATGCTGCATCGAGTGCTATTAATATTCGGTTCATCAAAGCTTTAGCTCTCCACAAGCAAACACCACGGAAACCGTTCTTCACTCACGGCTTCATTATGTAAGCTAAGCGTATGATGTTATAGGCAGGAACCAAGTGGTTCGAAGAAATTACGAAAAATGGAATCAACCAAAATATAGACTTCACTCAATTTTTCGCTAATAAGAAGCCTACTGTATACCATTGGTCACAAGTACGTGAAGAAAATTTTGCACTAGAACTTCTTCCGCTTTTTACGCTTCTACTAAACGATTTCTTCTTTCTCAGATGGTTTGGGCGAAGACGTATAAAATTGGCTGCGAGATAGCGGACTGTGAAGATTTGATGAATAAGGAGTACACCATCGTAGTGTGTCGTTATAGCCCCAAGTATGGACAGCATTCAGCAAATACTTATGCAGTTCACATGTAGCAATGTTCCAATTCAGAGGAAATGTCGTGGGAAACAAAGTATACCAACCCGGCAAGATACCGGATTGCGAATATGGAACATCCGCAGGATATTCTTCTCTTTGTGCATATCCTCCTTTCTCATAAATCATACGAATAAAACTTGTGCATTATGTTCTTGTTCAAGTCTGTCACCTTAGAAGGATTGCGACGGGTCTGTTTTAGATCTGCAGGACATGCTCCGAAAATCTTTTGTGCTTCTGGGGTCGCACCTGTCATGTCAGTCGCTGTGCATGCTTTCGCGACATTCAAAATCTCCAACCACAGAATCTTTCTGCTGCTAGAGTTTGTGACGTCAGCGAGAGGAGCTGAAACAGATAAGTCGAGTCGTCTTGTATCGCAGTAGGTGCATTGCACAAACCAATGGGAATTAGGCAGAAAAACAAAAACAAGTAAGCGTGAAGGGAAAAATAATGTTTAAAAACAGTCGGTTTCGGTTTTAATAACGTATAAGAGATAAAATACAAAATACTACAAAAAGGATTTTTTTCTAGAAGATCATTTTTTCAGAAACCACGTAATAAGCGGTTTGTAACCTCCTTCCTACTTAAAGCAATCCACGTTTGATGAGTGCTCCTCATTTTATGATTATGGTGGCGGATGAGGTGGTGGTTTTCAGGATGGGGAATGATGCAAGTCAGCGCCTCAGCAATTCAAAATGCACATAGATCCAACAAATTTCAAAGAAAATGGTAAAACATTGATTTGATGAAGATTTACCAAGCATAAGAGAACGAAATTTGTTTTCAACTGTGAGAGTGCAGCGTACAAGCGCTTATTGTCGTTGAACAAACGTTTATAGTGCGGTGTTCTTCTGTTCTAATTTGTGCGTATAAACGGCAGTAGCTCGAATAAAACGGATGATATGTTATCGTTGTGATCCCTTTTAATTTTGTAGGGAGCAGGTCGCAGGTCCTGTGGTGTGACATAGGAAAAAAATTACAAGAAAATTTACAAGGAAAGCCACCTAACTTAGTTCGGCCTTTTGGCAAGGGCCATAAATGGCCTGAATCAGCTTCAAACGGTGATTCCAAATACGCTATTCCTAGCTGCCACGCACCATTCTGAATCGAGTTATGGGCTTTTTCCTGCTCAAAATTGGCATGCTCATCGGCTCACGGGCATCACGTCATCAACATTTAGGTGCTGATACACCTCGTTAAGTTTTTTTAGTGAGAAAAGGTTGAATTTGTACTACTTCGATCACAGCACCTTTTTGTTGCAGAATTTTATCTACAGGCAGTCTTCTCATGTTCAGTAATATGCCAAATTTGCGTAGAAAAAGTCCATAACTCGCTTCGGAATGGTGCATGGCAGCTAAAAATAGCATATTTGGAATCAGCGTTTGAAGCTGATTTAGAAAATATATGCCTTTTACCAAACCGAGCTAAGTTAGGTAGCTTTCCTTATTAGAAAAAAACCAAGTTTGCATTTTGTCGAACAATAAATCTTCAGTCTGATTGCTTTGCTACAAGTTTTGCGCCGCTTATTTGACTCTAAACTATAGGTTGGCTCAAAGTTTACGTACATTCACGACTGAACTTGCTACTTCTCAAAACCTAATGCATGTACATTCTATAAGATATGCACTTCTTTTGCCTGCAGCTGATATCTAAGCAAATGGGTGGATCCTAAGACCAATGAGACTAGACTAATTAGAATCTTCAAAAATCAAAAATTATTTTGATTATTTCGGTACGCCACTGGTATGTGAGTATGTTTGCACTATAAATTAGAGCATATGGGGGTTTCGTAACGTTTGCAGAAGTTGAAGATCTAGGTTAGGTCAAAATCCTGCAAAAATTTTTGAATGGATTTTTACAGAAAACCCTGATAATGCTTGTGCTTGCCATAATTTTGTGAAGATTGCTTTCTTCTGTCCAACGGTATGCAGCATGCCCAGATCAGTGCTTACATGGAAACAAAACTTCTTCTCAATGCAATGTCCGAGAACTTTCGAGTTAACCCAATAATACCACGAAGCATTCTACGGGGACAGTAGATACTTGAAGCCGATTGCACAACTTGAGGTGACATTCTTCATGTAAAGGTTGAGTTTTGAAGATGCATTCTTTGTTTATACAGTGCTGGCGAAAAGTTTGCAGCCCGCTCTAAAACTTTGCTATGTCTTATCTTTTTCGCATGAAACGAAGCTAGATTTTAATAATACAAGCAAAACGCACTGCTCAACGCTATGACAAAAGATATTGTAGTTTTCTGCACATGAAAGGATGCTTTGTTGAAAATGGCGAAAACGGCAGAATTGAAGTTGGTCAAAACCTGCACAATCTCTGCTAAGCTTCCTTGAATCACCTGTTACATTCTAGTATCTGGGCTACAGATGCCACTTAAACTTTAAGATATGCATTGCAACCGACGTTCATCACACATTTCAAAAAAGGAGACATACGGAGCAAACTCGTTTGAGCTTGTATAACCGCAAAATTTGGATAAGTCATAAGGTTGCCAAGAAGTAATTGGCAGATTCATGCTCATATGAAAATGTTGTACCATCTGGAGCTTTAGTGGCTGCGAATGTGACAGAGAAAGCATTTTTCGGCATACTTTAAAATCTACCCCCTTCTCAACTTGAATCCGGAGCAATTTTCGGCTCGAAAACCGGGCTCAGTGGCTCACAGAGTATCCAAAATTGATATTATCAGGTTGGCACATTAGCTTTGCAACTTATTTCGTAACTTTCTCTTTTTAGCTATGGCACATTCATTCCTGGCTATAATACAGATAAAGTAGTAGGCTACAAATATGCGCAAAGAGTTTGATTTTTAGTAGCGATGTAGAGAAAATTTTCGCATTTGTGAAACTTGCTCAAGTTTGGAATAAGGGTCGAAAAACCGACGATACAGCCGTTCGCACAAAGAAAGGGTACTGGTGAACGTGGCCATTTGAAATGCTATGTAAACCATAAGATACACCTCAAAACGCTGATTCTAAATCTGTGCTCGATATCTGCAAAACGATCTTTTAAAGGAAGTTATGAACTTTTTTTCGTAAAAAATTTGCGTGCTTTCGGGATCACCAAATTTGTTTCTAGGTTACCGTTTGAAGCCATTGAAGAAATCTTAAGAGGAATACTGTTGTATCATATCTGTCTAAACATATTTAGCATTTGAAAAGGGAAGAAATTGAAATTTTTTATTGATGATTAGCTAGCTTACCCGGCTCTGCCCGGCGTCAAACTATAAAGGTCCTATCTCTATCCCTGTACAACCTTCCCCTGTGCCCACCAACATGCCAATTTCCGCTGTGTTAGTGATCAGCATGCTCATTTTGTCTGTGCAATTCTCAGCCCCGTAGCTCAAACAATGCAAAAATCGATAAAATCGATATCGATCGATGACGAAAAAAAGCCCGCGACACCTGCCCCGCCCCGAAGTGCATGCGTGCCAAGTTCGGTCCGGATCGGTTCAGAGATAAAAATTTTTATTCGGAACATACGAACAGATACACAGACACACAGACACACAGACACATAGACATACAAACAGACATTCAGCTTTATATATAAGATTGTCACCCTCCACATAGCGCAAATTACTTATGAAAAAATAATCATAACTCTATAGGTTATCGTTTCGCAGATATGAAAAACAGTATTCGAAACAGCTTTGAAAGCGCCTTTTTTACAGACCATTACGAATTGCCACGGTCATCAAGTGTTGATGATTTCTGTATCATCAACCATTGAACTCCATATTCTATATCGCCTACGGAATACCCGTAGGCCAAATAGTGAGCTACTTACTCTCGAGTATCTACTTACTAGAGTGAGTGGTACCTGTGCGCCAGGAGTGTAGCCAATCGGCGGCATCTTCTTTCAAGCACCAACACGTATACGTGTACATTGTACCCGTGCAAGCCCCGCCTTATATCAATGTACAGGGTGTCCGTAAAGTATGTATGCACTGTTTGATCGTTAATATCTCCGTTCCCAGGGGGTCTTTTGCCGAGCTTTAAGCACCATACTGTAGAGCTGGCTTCAATTTAGATTTACAATATAAAGCGAATCAGCGATTACTCACTGTTACTGTAGGATTACGGTAGAAACTTGAAACATATGGTGTCAATGTGGAAAAAGCTGTCGTTTCAAAAATTTTCAAAAAAAATGTGAAAACTTGTGTGATAGGGTTTTTATAGACGCTGAGTTCAATACTCAACTATTCACAAGATTGCGAAGCTTTTTAAACGTGTCAACGCACTTTTTAGGAACATTGAAAAAATGGCCGCTACCTCTTACCTGGCATAACTCTTCAATGAAGCATCATAATAAGTTGGGAACTTCACAATTAGAATCAGCAACTCTAATTAGCCTAGTGTAAAAGTTTTCAGGCTGTTTTGTTTCCTTTCTGAGGCAAAATATGGCCTTTCATGGCTCAAAACCCTCTTTGAAGTTCCTACCGTAATCCTACAGTAATGAGAGGAGACCGGCGATTCGCTCCATACTGTAGATCTAAGTTGAAGCCAGCTCTACAGTATGGTGGTTAAAGCTCGGCAAAAGACCCTCTGGAAATGGAGATATTAACGATCAAACAGTGCATACATACTTTACGGACACCCTATATACAGGGTGTCCCAAAAAAATGTGAACACTGTTTGATCGTTAATAACTCCCTTGCTTATATGTCTTTCGCCGAGCTTGAGGCATCATTCTATAGAGCGAGGTCTAACTTAGATCTGTAGTATAGAGCGAATCACCAATCTCTCTTCATTACTGTAGGATTACGGTAAGAATTTTGACAAAGATTTTAAACCGTTGAAACATATTCTGCCTCGGAACAAAACTAAACAAGCCAAAAACTTTTATACATGGGTAATGGAAGCCGCTGAGTTCAAATATGAAATTTCCACTTCACTGTGATGCTTCTTTCCAAGGTTATCCCAGGTAAACCTAAATGACCGAATTTCCAGCATTTGTCAAAAATGTGATTACACCTTCAAAAAAGCTAAAAACACTCGTAAAAAGTTGTGTTATGGAATCAGCGTGCGCAAAAACCCTAGTACACGATTTTTCAGATTTTTTGGAAAAAATTTCGTCAAATGGCATATTTCATAATAGATCCACATGCCAGAAGTTCATACCGTAATCCTACAGTAA